CAATCGAAAATAGCTATTTTTTTCTCTTAGTCCTTCCTCATCAGTTTCAAAATTCAGTCTTGAGATTTTTGACTTATAATTTAAAGTTTTTAACCACTTAAAACATTCATTGGAGGCAAAAAAATATCACCAACTCTTAATAATTGTTCATGAATGATATAGTCAACATATCTTACGTATATATTACTAGTTTTCTTTCTCTTTACTTTTTGTTACTTGTTTATATTCAAAGAATGAATTGAAAATAAGGTAAAAGTAGAAAATGTGATGTATGAAAGGATTGTCACGTTAATTAGCATTGGACCATGTGATTAAGGTTGAACGTTATAAGCTGACACCTGCATAAGTTCAAGGTTCGCCATATGCACACGTACCTATTGCTTCTCGATCCATCCAACTTAGCACAAGGAGTACATCAATGAAAGAATTAGGAGGATCAAGTATGGCCAAACCCTAAAGATGAGGAGCTTTAAGAGGATGAAACAAGCAGCTCTAGGCACATGTTCATGTGTTACAGGACTCTTAACGTATGCAGGTGTCAATCTATAATGTACAACTTTGCACGCAGGATTCAATTGCTAACGTGAAATTTCTTACACCTTATCACAATTTCATCACCAACTTAGGTGACTCGGATATCATTAAGCTCGAAATAAGCTTCGTTATAAATTTTGATGGATTGAGGATTAGGCATTTTTATTTGATTTTAAATAGGTTAATTTCTTAATTAGTTGATTTGAAACTAAAAGCAAATGCTCCGTCCCAAAGCAAGGAGAGTAAGAAGCGCAGCAGCCATGGCACTTCGAGCAATAGCAAAATGTTCCGTATCTCTAGACTCGAGGTAAGTATTGCTAACAATTATTCTTATTCTTAATATATTATTGTTCTTGAATTATATAATTAATATATATGTTGAATATAGAAATTGAATTTTATATTGACATAAAAGCTAAGAAATGAGTGAATGAGAAAGGAAATATTATTCACATAAAATATTTTCATACAATTTTATGTGAGAGAAATAGTAATGGACCATATTTTTATTTGGGGCAGTGAGATAGGTGAAATGCGTGAATCAACGTATATCTAATCATTTATTATGAAGAATGAACAAAGAAGTTAAGAGTGAAAAAATGGTGAAAAAGGATAATATCAATTATAAATGGATCACGTAAGGTTGAGTGTAATTGGACGGCATGTACATAAGTTCAAGGCTCCATCATATGAACGTGTTCCGGAAGGCTGTTTGAGCATTTTCATCATAGGACCCTAGCTAGTGCTGTTTGATCCATCCAGCTTAACACAGGGAACACATAAATAAGGCCTGTCAAGGGAGGATCAAATATAGGCAAACCGTGAAGAAGAGGAGCATTAAGAGGATGAATCAAGCGGCTCTAAGTGATAGAAAAATTGGAGAAGAAGATTAAAGAAAACAAGAAAGCTCTCAGGTATGAACGAAATTACAACCAGACCCTCAACAAAATGGTATGGTAGAAAGGAAAAATAGAACATTGGTTGACATGGTTAATTTTATATTATTAACTCCAAAGTTGCCATTCAACCTTTGGGGAGAAGCTAGCATTTCTTATTGCTAATTATGTCATCAATAAAATTCCTTACAAGAAAACTCATGTTTCTCCATATGAGACATAAAATAATGGTAGGAAACCAAATCTAGATTATTTTAAAGTGTGGGGGTTTCTTGCCTTTTATAAGGTACCAAAACCTCAAAGAATGAAATTAGGACCGAGAGGCTTAAGAAGTGTGTTTGTTGGATATGCACAAAATTCTAAAGCTTATAGGTTACTAGATTTCGAATCTAATGTCATAGAATCAGTTCATGTTGGGTTCTTTGAAAATAAGTCCATCAACGATTCTCCAAATAATGATTCATCTTTGACTATGGATGTTTCTTTGAATAATTCAACATATGCAAATCCAAAAGAAGTTGCTCTAAGAATTGTTCTTGGAGAGAAAAGAAAACAAAGTGATGGTTCAAATGAACCAAGACGAAGTCATAGAATTAGGAAAGAAAGGGCTCTTGATTTTGATTTTATTTCTTCACAATCTATTGTTTTTCTAGTTGAAGGTGTCATAACCAAAATACTTCAAAAAATACCCTTCATATTAAATGTTGAAGATGATCCAAGAACATTTAAGGAAGCAATGGCTTCAAGAGATGTAACTTTCTGGAAAGAGGCTGTGAATGATGAAATAAACTCAATTATGTCCAACAAAACTTGGGTCTTGGTAGTTTTACTACCTGGTTCAAGACTAATTGGTTGTAAATGGGTATTTAAAAGGAAATATAATACTAGTGGTTCAAGGCATACCTTTAAGGCAACATTGGTAGCAAAGGGTTTTACTCAAAAGGAAGGCATAGATTATTTTGATACATATGTACTTGTTGCAAGAATAACACCCATCAAAGGTCTCTTGGCTTTGGCCTTAATCTATAAATTACATGTACATCAAATGGATGTTAAGACAGATTTTTTGAATGGTGACTTAAAAGAGGAAGTTTGCATGGAATACCCAAAAGGCTTTGTACTTCTTGGAAATGAAAAAAAAGTGTGTAAATTAGTAAAGTCACTATATGGCCTAAAGCAAGCTCCCAAGCAGTGGCTTGAGAAGTTTGATGCGCAAATATTGGCAAATGGATTTACAAACAATAGGGCAGATAAGTGCATATATTCAAAATTTACTAAGGACTATGGTCTAATTATATGTCTCTATGTTGATGATAGATTCATCTTTGGTACCAACATGTTTGGTATAATTGAGAACAAGAAGTATCTAACTTCAATTTTTGAAATGAAAGACTTAAATGAAGTAGATACTATTTTGGGAATTAAAGTGAAGAGATTGCAATGGTTATGCACTAAATCAGTCACATTACATAGATAAGACATTGAAGAAATTCCAACATCTTACTATTAAAGAAGTCACCACACCATATGATTTAAGTATGAGGTTGACAAAAAATTCTGACTATATTGTCACTCAATTGGAATATGCAAGTGCAATTGGGAGTCTAATGTATGCAATACATTGCACTAGGCCTAACGTAGCTTTTGTTGTATGCAAATTACCAAGATATACAAGCAAGCCAAGTCAAGAACATTGGAAAGCCATTGAAAGAGTCCTTGGCTATCTTAAGAAAACAAAAGAACTTGGTTTGTTTTACTCTAATTATCCAGCAGTTTTAGAAGGCTATACTGATGCAAGTTGGATTACTAGTAAATGTGATAACAAATCCACATCAAGTTGGATTTTTACACCAAAAGGAGGTGCAATATGTTGGGCCTCAAAGAAACAAACTTGCATCTCACATTCCTCTATGGAGTTTGAGTTTATTGCTTTGGCAACAACAAGCAAAGAGGCAGAATGGCTAAGGAATATGTTACTTGATGAGAAGTTGTGGCCACAACCTATGCCAGCCATCTTCATGTACTACGATAATGAGGCTACGATGTCTAGAGAATATAGCAACTTTTATAATGGGAAATCTAGATATATGAGCCTCAAACATGAATATGTTTGAGTGTTGATCACTAGCTAGGTTATAACAATCATATATGTAAAGTTTGTAGACAATTTAGTTGATCCTCCTACCAAAACATTACTAAGAGATTTGGTAAAGAAAATTTCAAAAGGAATGGGGCTTAAATCCTTTTATTAGACATCGATAATGGCAACCCAACTTTGGTTTAGTAACCTCTAAACTCAAAGTTCAATAAGTAATAACAAGTTATTGCATATGTCTGCTTAGCACTTGATTCCCATTCCTAAATTGCTGAAGTTCAAGTGTTGTTTGTTGGGATAATTTGAGGATGAGTTATACTCTTAATGGAGTTGTAATTATAAATGGCCATAACAATAGGGACATAAAGAACTCCATGTAAGTGATCAAAGAAGTGGTGCCACTTCAACAAGAGGTAAGTGGATTCTCTTGTAAATGATCCCTATTACTAGGATGAGCACATGACCATTTATAGTGCTAAAAGGTTAAAACCATTTAATGTAGAAGGCTAAGTCTATGTGTGTCATATTTTAAATCTAACACTAGCAGTTGTGGTTCAATCCAAGGACACCATTAACTTTGTTAGATACTAAAGTATGTACACTAATAGAAGGTTCAAATCGAGAGATACCTTCTTTATGTATATTATTATTGCGTGAAAAGAATGAAATTATTCAATACTTTAAACTAGTGTGGAATTGTTGGATAGTTTAAAAGTGCTATTTTGAAAGTTGTAGCAAGTTTTGAATATATAGACTTAAGACCAAAGAAACTTAGTCCTTAAAATATTAATATGAACACGCCGGTTTGATTAATATGGACAGGGTGTGAGGTTAAGTCAGCAAGAGCATGATTAGAGACATAAAAATCATATCCGTCCGATTAAGATCAAAAGCAGATGCTAAGACATGAAAACCATGTCCGTATGATTAATTATTCAAGTCTGATCATTTTAATATAACTACTTGAATTGAATGGACATGTGTCTATTGATTGGATGATGAAGTTTGAATGAGTAGACATGATGACCCAAACACACCTGTTTGTTGGGACATGTTTAATGGACATACCTCTGCATTTTAGAATGGTTATGTCTATTCGGACAAACCAAAGATACCTGTCCATTGCTTATATAAAAGATAGTTCAGACTCATTCAGTGGTTCATAGTTTTCCTGACAAGTATTCCTTCACATCTACACTTTGAAAGAGTTTTGGTTTGTTTTTGTGGTATCTTGGGGGCATTAAAGCCTTAAGTGATTTTGTTCATGCCTCTAAACTTTCTATTTTCTCCAATCTTCTTTCTCCTATTTTTCTATCACTAAGCACATGCACCTGTCACAAGGTCTTGAATCTACGCAAATGTCGACCAATAACGTACAACTTTACAAGATTCACTTGCTAATGTGAACTTCCTTACACCTTAACTAATTGTCATCACCAACTTAGGTGACTCAGAGATCATTAATCTGGAAATAAGCTTTGTTATAAATTTAATTAGATGGATTGAGGATTAGACATACAACATTGCAAGATTCACTTGCTAACATGGAAATCCATACACCTTATGTCACATTGTCATCACCAACTTAGGTAATATGGAAAAGCACCTCAATGTGCATGTCCAGTTTATATAGATGGTGCAAAGAAAAGGAGTATATTCTTGTTATTTAACAACTTGATTAATCTGTACATTCTGTTTTCTGCCTTAAGAGGGGCATGTGTACGAGGTTCACACACTATGAAGAAGAAAGGTTACCTCATTCTACTTGTCAACTCCTCTTTAAGTCGATGACTATGACACTGATGTTATCAGAACTTTTACGTCCCAAAGCAAGGCGAGTAAGCAGTGCAGCAGCCATAGCACTTCGAGATGGGTACAATGCTTCAGCCCCTTCATCTACTATCTGAGGCCTAGCATTGTGATTGAATGCAGTAGCAGAGGCAGCAGCACCACCAACACCATTGCTTCTTTCTTTAAGACACTCAAGTGCCACCTCGCAAGCCAAGTCGCTTGACAGAACATCCCACAAGCCATCACTTGCAAGAATTAAGCACTCATCTTGTGGTTCTCGCTTAGTGAATGTTATCTCAGGCTCCGATGTTACAACTGGCTTCAAGTACTTGTCTCCTGTTTGGGAAATAACAAGTAAGTTTAACAAACAAATTCACATCAGTGCCATTGGAAGGGCTATGAGAATACCACACACCACAGGCTACTTAATTTGATGAGGCCAGTTTGACAATATTCAGGCAATGGGAAATCCAAGAACGAAAACAAAAGCGTGTCATATTCAATCGAAACCAAAAAGATTACCTATCGCTCGGGACATAGCAAGAATCCCTTCAACACGTGCTCCATTTAAGAAAATGACTCTGCCTCCAACGCCTTTAATCCTTTCAAGTTCATCCGATCTATCAGGCTGAAAGTTCTCACAAATATATATCATCATCAATCAATTTCGTCAAATTGAATCAAGAGACCCACATTGCAAGCTACTAGACAAACCTTATGATCGAAACTGAGAGGAATGGCTTTTCCGGCACGGCAAAGGACGGCGCGTGAGTCACCGCAATTAGCAACCAGGATATGTTCATCAGTTAACAGCACCACCACGGCAGTGGACCCCCCAAGCGCCACCTCCATCGAGTGGCACCCACACCGATACCCCACGCTTCCACACGCGCAAGTGTTCATTGCCACCTCATCCATTCTCTCAAAGCTCCTTTTCATAGCTGTTCTCCACTTCCCTTCGTTCTCCTCCCCCACCGAGCTTCCATTCTCTCCACGCTCTTTCTCATCCGTGAATTCCACGCGCATAAGCTCTTCTTCCACAAACACGTGCATCCTTTCCTTGCACGATGCTGCCACCTGTACGGCACAAATTCCATCGTGAAATCCATCGGAATTAATTGACAAAAACACCCTTACAACCTACGAGCCAGTTCGAAAAAATCAATACAAAAAATGGAGAAAAAAAAGGGGAAAATACGCAATTTTTTGGAGGGTTTTTCTATTCGTTTCTTCATTCTAAAGCCTTATTTCTTTTATAAAAAAAATATTATATTAAAAAAAAGGGGAAAATAAGATTTACGTGGGCGCCGCCATGGCCGTCATAAACGGCGAAGAAATGCACGGGTCGGCTGTGATTCATCTCAGGCCGGCAAAGATTCGTTCGCACAGAAACGGTGTCTTCCATCTCACGCGACCTACCCGCTATCGACATCATCCCGAACACTGGCTCTGCCTCTGCAGCCAATTTCACCTCCGCCCTCTCCGTCTCTGGCTCCACCTTCTCGATAGACGACGCAGACACCTTCGCAACCAGTAATAAATCATCCGACTCCGAAGTGGGTAACCGGGTCACGTCTTCAGTCAAAATTGAGCTCTCAGACAGACTAGGCTGCGTCACCGAACTGGAGATTGAAACTGACGACAGCCTCCTCATCTCGATTCTCCGGCGGCGGCGCTCTCGACACTCAAGCGGTGAATCATCGCCATCCTTTCTCCGCATTCTTTTGAAAACCTCCGTCATCGACAAATCTCAACTACGAGTTCTCATCATTTACCTTCATCTATAAAACACATGTACTTTGTAAGATTCTGCAAACCCAAACTAAAAGATAGATATAAAAAAAAAATTAATAGAACTAAAAGAGAGGAGAAAAAAGAAAGGAAAATGGCAATATGTTCTGATTTTTTTGCATTAAAGCTAACGATGTGTTGTCCTAAAGCTAACTATATGCTCTGGAAATAGAAAAGTTTTTCGTTTTGTCTTAGATTAAAAAAATAAAAGGAGAATGGTTTTTTACCGCCACTTATTAATAAGAATATTGTTAATTAATCTTTCTCTATGCTGATTTATTAGCATAAGAGTTATTTCTGAAGCAAAGAAGAATAATTTTTATTTATTTATTATATAAAAATATTATCTAAAATTCTGTGTAGGGTTAGTTAAGAATTACTCCCTCTATCAACGTGTGATTATTATTTTTTGACTTTTTTTACTAATTAAAAATTTAAGAATAATTTCCATATTTACTTTTATTTTAGCAAGAAAAAAAATACTTACTAGTACTATTAGAAGGAAATGATATTTTTTAACTCCAAAAAGTAAAATTATATATAGTTTAAATTATAAAATATTTTAAAATATATATTTAATTAAAATATCTAAATGTTTTCATAATCTAAATTTAGTACAGTTACAATAGAGAAAAACATTTTTGTTCTTTGAAATATTAACTATTACTATTTTTTGAGTATGGTTATAATTATTTATTATTTTAGTAAACTTATTTAAAATTTATTTAATTTAATTAATATTTTATTTATTTATAATTTTTTGAAATAATTAATTATTATCTTTAAAAAATTAATTTATCAAATAGTTTTAAACTATTAAATAATAATTAATAATTATTTTTAATAAATTAAATTAAATTAAACAATGATGACAATAGCCATGCTTGTATTTCCCACCCTCGTGTTTGCAATCACCGACTTTTTCTGCTGTTGGATCGACACGTGTATTTCCCGGAGTTTCATTTTCGCGTGAAAAGTCTTCAAATTCCTTTTCTGACTATTGTCTAGTCAATGTTATATTATTTAGATGATCCAGATAAAGGGCACGCGTCAGTGGAGCCCTGAAAAGTGGAGCCCAGCGCTATAAAGTGAGACACGTGGACCAAAGAGAAAGCATTACGTGTTAGATTGAAGAAAGAAAGCTGACCCCACGTTTCATCTCTTTTTTTTCTCTCTCCCCCCCCTAAATTGCGAGGGCCGTCCATACGTGGCGGAGTTTTATGGCGCCAACGGCCCCCGCAACGTGAGTTGTATTGTGCAATGTGGAGGAGGACACGTAGGAAAGCCAGCGTCATGGGTACTAGAGTACTAGTGGGGTCCTCACGATTCCGCGGTCTTACGTTTTCGGCTGCCTAGTTTCCTTTTAAAGAGCACATGGTTTTCCTGCCCTGCTTCGGCTTGTAACGAGGAGCATGGTCAAAAAGGAAGAAAACAGAGGGGCTGATTAAAAATTAATATTAATTTTAGTATTGATATTAAATAAATAAAATTTAGTTAAATAATTAATAAATTAAAAATTAATTTTTATATTTTTAATATGAATTTATAATAAAAATATATATAATATATTCTTAATTTGTGTCATAAATAAATCTTTAAAAAATGTTTTCTTAATTGTAATTATAAAATAATAATTATTAAATGATAAAAGACTATTTAATAATGGGTGTTAATTTTTTTATTGAAAATTTTTAACTTATATTTGGTTAAAGTTATATTTATTTTATTTTT